GAGCTGAAGAGCTGAGGGACAGCGCCCAGGCCCAGAGTTCAAGCCCCACGACCGACAAAAAAAAAAAAAAAAAAAGAAATTCAGTGGCCTCTTCTAAATGTTAGTCTAGACATGATAAATGGCATAATGAGCCAAGCACCAGTGGCTTTTATGCCTGCAATCTTAGCTACTCAGGAGGCTGAGATCCGAGGATCACAGTTCAAATCCAGACCAGGCAGGAAGTCTATGAAACGCTCATTGCCAATTAACCACCAATAAAGCCAGAAGTGGAGCTGTGGCTCACATGACAGAATGTTAGCCTTGAGCAAAAAAGCTCAGGGATAGCACCTCACCCAGGCCCTGAGCAAAAAAGCTCAGGTATAGCACCTAGACCCTGATTCAAGCCCCAGGATGAGCACCAAAAGAAAGGGGATAGGGGAAGCCAGAATTCAAATGTAGACATTTTGGCTCCAGAGTCTCTGATTCATAATACCAGGCATGCTACCTTACTCCTGCCTGGCAGGTGGGCTTTGTGTAATATGGATACATGTGTATAGATGGGCACATGTGGGCCCAGAGGGTGTCAGCATCCCAAGGGAAGGGCAAGGAAGGCTGACCAGTCCCACACACCTTTTCCAGCTGTTCAATGCAAGGGGTGTGCACCACGATCTTGCAAGCTGCACACTTTCTCCTGGACACTGATTTCTGCTGCAGGACAAAGAGAGCAACCCTGAGGCACCAGACACTGCCTCAGAGAGAGCAATGAATTCTGCATCTGCCCCAGCACAAGTGCCCTCTGCACAGGAAGCAAGGCCCAGCACAGCCCACAGCAGGCATGCTCACCCTCAGGCAGAGCTGTGCACACCTCTGGGAAGGGCTGCAGCTGTAGTTGGCAGGGTTCTAGACTCTGCTCCACCACCAGGGGGCAGCAGGACTCACCAGCATCTTGGCTACACAGTACTGTTCCCCAACATAGCAGAAGTCCCCTGACACGTTGGTCTCGAACCAGATGTGCTCCCCATATGTTGCTGACTCCTAGAGCAGGGATGAGGCATGCTCAGCCCAGCCACCTTCCAACTTCCAAGACAACTGGGCTCTAGCTGTCCAGGTTTTTTTTTTTTTTTTTTCAGTGTCCCTACTCTTCAGGACCAAAGGTAGCCACTGCCAGGAAATCTGCCCTGACACCACAAGACCCCTGTCCCTCAACTATCCCAGTGGCCAGAGCCAGCAGTGTTCAGGAGCCGCCACCCCTCCCAGCACCCAGCTACTCACACTCCAGTCCACAATGCTCCGGATCTGTCGCTCAGAGTCTCCGCATGGGGCCCCCGGGGCGGGAGGAGGCAGTGCCAGGTGCTGGAGGCCTGACTTGGTGATGGCTTTCCTACAAAAAAAGGGACAGCTGAGGGCTGGGAAGATGGCTCAGTGGTAGAGTGCTTGCCTTGCATGCCTGAGGCCCTGGGTTCAATTCCTCAGCACCACATAAGTAAAAAGAAAAAAAGCCGGAAGTGGCACTGTGGCTCAAGTGGTAGAGCACTAGCCTTGAGCTGAAGAGCTGAGGGACAGCGC